AAAGTGTGATGATCGGGCACTACCCGCAGAAGATAAAGAATGAGAAAAACTCAAATACAAAATCAACTTCTTAGTCGTCCAAATACTTTCTCAAGCAGCACAGATGGATGACGACCATAATTTTGATATTGTGCTGTATGTGCGTTAAAATTTAGAACAAGTTTGCCAAAGACCATGAAAATTACCCTCGAATCCATGGTCGTAGCATCGGAAGGACGCCGAAGAGGTGCCACAACGCGGCGCTTCCTTTGTACATCGAGGTCGTCAAAAAAATGCACAGGTAGAAGAAGGAACTCAGAGTTACTCCAAACTCCATGCTATTGATTGCGTCACGCAGGTGTGTCCAAAACCCCACACACCAACTACGCATTCCATGATCAATGATGGCAAAGGTGAGGAACGAAACATGCACACCCCAGCTGGAGGTTATTGTTGTTTTCCGAGATGCAGCGTTTGAAGGCAGCAGCAAGGGCAAATGGTCGTGCAGATCAGCTAGTGCCCATGTTAGGTACTAACATAATTAAGTTTAACACTTGTTGTACTTGTAAGTTGTTGTTTCAGAAGATCGATGGAGTAGTACCAGGTCGACCGAGTCGGGTAAAGAAGAGCGAATATTGCGGGAAGCTCTTTCTAAAATGAAAGTACGTAGGAGTAGAAGTTATCGTAGTTAGTATAATAAAAGAAGACTAACGAGCTAAATTAAAAAACAACAACGACCCCGCCAAACTCTCACATTTCCACTTCCGAGCCCAAAGCCCTTCCCCTTCTGCCTCATGAAATTCTGAGCTTTCCAATCTTTCCCAACTTCCGAAACTTTCCCAAACTTCCCAACTTTCCCAGCTCTCCCAACTTTCCCAGCTTTTCCAACTTTCCACACTTTCTCAAATTTCCGACCTTCCCGAACTTTCCCAGCTTTGTTCCAACCTTTCCGAATTTTCCAAGCTTTCCGAGCTTTCCAATCAACCTCTCCGAGCTTTCGGAGCTTTCCTAACTTTCCGAATTTATTTTCCACAATTTCCGACTTTTCCAAACTTTCCGAGATTTCCAAACTACTTATGAACTTGCGACAATAAACTTACGAACTTACGCATCCCGCCCCACCCAGTCGGTGGGCTCCCATCATCACCACCGTCACCGCTTACGAACTTACAAATTTGCGAGGCTTGAGAATTGGTTAGCCCTGACCTCACGCAGAGAGATGGGCGCGAACGTTAAAACCTACGCGACAAAGCCAAAACCTTCACAATTTGAACCAACTCAAAAAATTGAAGAAAGGTAGGCCTGGGAATTGGTTAGCCTTGACTCCGCGCAGATGGGCCGACTTATTTCAAAAACCTGCGCGATATTATAATCAAAATTTTTACGATTTGAACCCAAAAAATTGAAAAAAGGCCGGAAAGCTCACACCTGAAAGCGCAAAGCCGAAGACCCAAAGCCGAAAGCCAAATGCCGATGGCTCAAAGTTGAAAGCTCAAAGTTGAAGACTCAAAGTCCAAAGTTCAAAATTGAAACGGCAAAATTCAAAACCCAAAGCAGAAAGCCCAAGCCTGAAGGTTCAAAGTTGAAAGCTCAAAACTGAGAGCGCGAAGCTGAAAGCCCCAGGGTAAAAGCCCAAAGCTGAACGCTTAGGATTAAAGGCCGCGCCCCAATGTCTCAAAGTTTCAAGCTTGAGACTGAAGCCCAAGACTTTTGATTTTAGGTTTATCCAATAAAAACGAAGCTCGAGAATTCCCATGCAAATTTTTTGACTGTATCACAAGAAGAGGAATCTCGACAAGTTGCAAACTCGAGCGCTGCAACTTGCACGCAAAGGAGGCCAAATAACCTACCAAAAGAAGAGCACACCGACAAGCCAACGCCTTCGGCCTGCGCTTTTTTAATCAATGGCCGCACGCCGTCCCCCGCCCGGCTCTTGTTCCAACGATCAACGCCGCCGGCCAGACGGTTGGCGGGCGGGGGAGGAGTCGGGGAAGCGGAATCGCGATGGGGTTGAGGAAGTGCATGCCGGGGGTGGATGGCATGATCCTAGTAGGAGGAGTGCTGCCGGGCGCTCAAGTCTAGTAGAAATAGTGGGAAAATAAAAAAGCGAAAAGCTATCCGCCAAAAACAACAAGATAGTACGCTGTCCTGTCGTCATGGAAACTTGAATAGGGCTGCCCTGGGAATTTCTCGAATCGATTGCCTGCTTCGTAACCGGTAAACCACATTTGCACGAGACGGATGACAATTCCCCCGAATTCATAAAGAAGCCCGAAATTAGAAATCCACTAGTGGTCCGTTGCCGACATCTATGTACTTAACTCTGAGTTTCAACTTTAAAGACGTTGCTGGATGAACGTGATCACCCGTTCTCTATCATTCATCAATCATCATGGCATAAATCTATAATTTCTTTTTAATATTCAATCATTTTTGTCGCGGCGACCTGGTCGCCCACCCAAGTTACTACAAGTAATGTTCGCATTCGCATTCCTTCTTTCGATCATAAAGTAGTCGTGTTCCAAAACGCCGCCGAAGGCTATGATTGGTTCTTGCACTAATCGGTCCTCCAATGCTTGGCTCTGCGCCATGCGCTCAATCTCAGCGTCCTCCGCCTCGGCTTCGCGCGCCCGCTCCGCGCTTCCCTCAGATGCGGCATCATCCTTCCTGTAAGACATCTTGCGCCCGCTTGTGATGTCCTCTTCTTGACGAAAGAAGGCGTCCTACGTGTACGTCGAGCACGTCCTAGTTGTAGCAGGTTCAGAAGTAGCTCTGGTTGCGCCCTTGTCTGTAATTCTTTCGCACGACCGGAGTAAAGATTAACATAGGGTCGACTTGTGAAAAGAACCTCCGCGGTGGACCACCTCCACCGCCGCGGTTCATCCAGTTGGTGAAAGGTCGAAGCGGAGTCGTGTCGTCAACGTCACTAGACAACCCGTCAAAGCAGAGAACTCAAGCACGCCCTATGCATAGGGTCGTAAGAAACTTGTTCAAGTCTAAAGAATGATCCACAAAGAAACGACTTGCTTAGAACATACGTCGTTTTCCCCACGAGGTTGCCACTTCTTAATTCTCCTCGCTGCGGAAACTACGAACGATCGAGATTTTTGGGAAAAGGACAACAGTCGACGACATATTGTAATTGCATGATCGACTTTGGATGTACAGGACTTTAACTGCTCTGTGACACATCAGTACTGCTTGTAGGTGGAGTAATTGCTAGTCGTGCTCACGACAACTTCAGTACAATGTCTTCATAAGTTAGGACTACGCGTACTTTTTATTCCACTACTTCGGTAGGAATATCGGGTAACCGGGGTTGACAGTGCAGGAACCGATATCGAAAATGAGCGATCAACACAGTCGTCAGATCGATGAGCTCGCGGTCTAGACTCACCGAGTCCCTCAATGGACCGAATAGATTTTCTGCCGCATTGTTATATTGTCAGGAATCCAGAAAAACAGAATAGACAGATTTAGACTTAGAGGGGCTCCCGCCTCAGCCCTGCTTTGTTTTTTGTATGCCAAGACCGCCGGAAGGGTGATCCCAGTGATATCCGGTGTGCCTGCGCATTGCGCACAGAGCTCACTCCGCTGAAACCGTTACATGATCAAAACATTAAAGAAAAAATGACGTTGACGGATCTGGGTAGACAAACGAGAAGGCATAAAAACGAGGAGAACGCGACGTCGCAGGACATCAACCTCCAGCTGCTTCAAAGCGGTCGCGCAGACTGCAGGAGTAGCACGCTGCACGTTCCATGTTTCCTCCTGGCTGTTCATGATCACGTTTGCTCGACTTGTACTACATCCGCTCTGCAGGTTTGTTTTAACACCTTGTTTCTTGGAGAAAATGAGATGGTATGCTAGGGTGTATCAAGAACAGCTGTCGAGCGCAAAAGAGAATGCTATAACCAATAAGTTCCCGAAACGAATAAGTATATACTGGTTCATCATAACAAATGAATCATCCGATTACAATTCTTATTCTGTTGAATGTAGCAACAAGGCTTTTGTCTGTGATAAGCATGAGAATCACAGGCAGAAGCTCAAACTATTACTTACATTTTCCTTCTCGCATTAGCAAAAATTTTGAAAGTCTTCACATGGTTTACCGAGGTCGTTTTAGGATATGAATATTGATGTGTGCCTAGAGTGTTTGCTGGAAATATGATCAAAAACATAAACATTAGCCATGATGACGAATTTTTTGAAAATGAGGACATGCAGGACAGAATTAGACAAGAGACGTTCATATGTTTGAATTCCGTCATGTTTGTTATAATATATATATTATGGTTGTAATGGTACTACTAGTTCTAACTGTAAAACATGCCGAGTTAGATCTGTATCTCGGGCCTGCCTACAACTATACTATGACAGAAAGGTCATGGTTTACTCTTCCGACCCCCGATCGAGGTTTTAATTTCGCGTGGGACTTCCCGTCCATTAATTCTTGCCAATAATTGATGCAAGAAGCAACCTCTACTAATTTAATACTGCTTCTGCTGAGTGAAGTAATTAATAGATTTTGAAATCTTCTAGTTCTACAACATAAGTACTTACTGGAACTTGTTCGGGAATCTTCCGCCCTTGACTTTGACAACATATGATCGGAGTTAAAAAAAAAATATACGTGTATCTTCACCCGACGCCAGGAAGCTTATATTCAGCCCCAATCTTCTTGTGCACGGTGTACTACTTCTTGAGTCCTAGCAAAGAACCTCTCGAAACACAGTCTATGCTTATTTCTACAGCGAAACCATCAACACAAAACCATAACGAAACCAAAACGCGAGAAGCTATCATGCCGATGCCGAAAACGAAATTATCAATGAAAAGTAGTTCAAAATTGATATCAATCAAACAAAAAGCTCTTTACACCTTCTTGTAATTCTCGTAGTTTTACTTTTACTCGTCCTGCTACCTCTTCAACAACAAGTATAATCAGTGTCATTAGTATCTATCTAAAACCACAACAGTCTTCTCCTCAGGACCTGAAGATTAGAATACTTCTTTTATTAGTCGATGTCAATTTTCATGCGCATCATGCGGTTGAAAACTTTCGGATCGCTAAACATGTCGTCAGCCTGCCGCGTCATTGTTTCGGTTTTCAGGTCCAACTCTCGAGTTCTTTGTTGGATCTGCAGTATCCGATCCTCCAGCATCATGAGATCCCGCCCAAGTGTGCTCGCGGCGATAAGCACCTCCAGAATATCCTTTCATTAGAAAAGTAGAGATACTGACACGGTGCGATAATTACAGTCATTCATACTAGAAATCAGATAAGAGATCAGTCAGTCGTACCTCCTATTGCTGTTTAGAAGTTTGTAATATGAAAAGTACGAGATGTTGAGTATAAATGGGCATGGTTATCGAGGATGGATATTGATGATTTCATAATTTGACTGGGCCTGTCCCGAAAGCCGCATGCAACCCTTGATGAAAGAGTCGATTGCCAACTCGCCTAAACCATCAACATCGATCAAAGAGAAAACCTGATGCAGTCGACAGGGGAAAGCAGACACGTAAGAACATGGTGGAGGTGAGCATTTATCTTCTCTGAGCAGGACAATATGAATAAAATCAACTGAAATTCTTCATCATGAGTCACTCGTTGTAACCATCATTCAACAACATCAAGCATGCTAGAACACTCCGATCTACAAGAACAACTACTTCGTCCACGATTACTGGTACAACTAATTTCGCCTACTGAACATCATGCAAATTCTGGTGGCACATGGATGAAAATTCGAGGAAAACTAGCTCAATACCTTTTCTGGATCGTCCAGTGGAAAGTCGATCATTTTGAGCCGTGTTGCTACTTCTGGATTTTCCATCGCACGTTTCAACTCATCTACACTAAGGCTACCACTCCCATCCTCATCCATCTGCTCGAATGCTGCTCTAATGTGTTGCAGCGCAAGTTTCCTATCTTCTTGCTTTTTCTTCAGCGTTTGCACGTTGTTAAATTTCGCCACTGCTAAGGTGGACTCGACGATGACGCCGACAACCAGGTTCAGGAGACCATAACTGGCAAAAAGCACGAAACCCAAAGGATTTAGAAGAACTTGAGAGACAGCAGGTGCAGGATGTTCCCGCAAGTGTAAAAATCAAGTACAACTAGTCGGCTGTGAACACAACGTCGTGTTTGGTCCTAAAAAGTACAACTCGAATCTCATTCATTTTTTTTTGTATCTGAGAGCAAACGAATGAATGCATCTCGAATCTAACGAAAGCACACTTCTGTTCTAACACGAATCTGATCAATGAATCTACTTCGGATATTAGTATTACTTCACAACATTGCCATGAGAAAAACCAGACCATTCCTGGAGCGACTTGCAATATGTGCCGCGCAATCTCCTCAGACCAATGATCGAGTGTGCACACCTGCAACGCAGAAGTGATGTCGTGTATGGGATGAGCGGTTGTGAAATTTCCGTCACAACTTTGTTGTAAGCGTGACTAAGAAACGTCCTGCCCATGAGAGATGAATTACGTGTATTTATTTGATCATCATTTCCTCGAAGTACTACTTGAAGATTAAGTGAGAATTGTAACCTCCACTCTTGTGTGGAGAAAAAAGACAGAAATATATATACATTTCTCTTTCTATTACCTGAAATAATGTAAACATGCTGCGCCAGATGTTTCCGAAATACTCTTCGTGATCCCAGCCCCGTTTCATGAAGTAGGGATTGAAAGTTTCGTCGTCATGCCCGATCACCAGCGTCATATAGATCGCACAAGTCTGAAAGTCATGAGGATATTGAGGATGATGATGATGATGATGATGATGGTGATGCTGACGATTGGTCCTACGACGGCATCGCCGCGAGAGTAGTCCTGCTCTACTAGGCGGTGAAGATGGGGATCGAAGTACTACTTAAAAGAAGATGATCTTCAAAAATTAAATAAGTAAGTTCATCAAATTCCATCCATTCGTCAAGATATAGATATATAAAAAGAAGTAGAATTAGTGCTAAGATACCCGCCGCCATGTTGATAAGCAAGATGAATAGTACATAAAGCATGATGAAAAGCATCACTGCGACCCAGAAAAGCGTTCGCATCGCATTGGACAAACCTGACACCAGCAAGAAGAGCTGATGAAAGACCTTCAGGATCTTGATAATCCGTACCAACCTGAGAGAGAGAGCGGAGAGGTGAAAACCTACGTACTGAGAACTACGATCGGGCAAGAGATAATAAATTGCATCATATTGTCAGAAATAAAGTCGGTGCCTTTGTGATCACTCTAATATTTACAAAAGATAAGACAGAGCCTAGTGCTACATCGTCAATTTGGTGTTATAATCAATGATCACTTTCATTAGGACGAGGCATTTCTCAATAGCAATAGCAATGCAATACGAGTACAGTACCTAAGAATCCTGATGACACGAAAGACAGTGAAGGCTCGGAGCGAACCGCTGGTGTTTGACGGCTGCATAACCCATGTGTCCACAATATTGAGAACCACGAGAACGAAGTCCACAATATTTTGAAACCACGTACCAGAGTAGAAAAACGCTAATCGTTTGTACACCAGCCGCGCTGCCTGAAATATGGTATTTGCATGCAATTTGTTTGAGGGAATGGAAGTGATCAAATGTTGGTAACTAGAGATCAGCAGGCTCCATGGAATGGAAACGATCAAATGGTCTCTCTTCGTGTTACCGTCATCCCGGCGTCCAAGAAACATAAGCGCTATATGATCGACTATCATCGACATCATGTGGTCATTGCTATTGATGAAACTGATATTAGAAAGTGAAAATTTCAACAAGAGAATACAAATTCGAAAAGTCGTAGGAAAGTACCAGCTCGAAGAGGAAGATGAGGAGGAAGATGTTCTCGATCACATACCATTCGAGACGGTCTGATATTGAAGTCTTGCCGTCCAAAACATTCTGCTTCTGGTCATCTGCTTCGATACCAATGGTTATGCTATTCGCGATAATGCAAAAACCAATAAAAAGCGAGAAATTTTGCCGCTCCACCTGATAAAGGTTTTTCGATAAAAGATAGGATGATAGCGTGGGCAGGAAGTGTATGTGTAGTCCCGTCAGTCATTCACAAAAGTTCTCAATGATTCTGTTCTTCTTCTTCATGATTGCGTCTCAAATGACCGCAGATGATCATCGGCAAGACGAGATAATTGTTCCTCATCCTAATTATACTTTTAGGCCAGCTAAATATATATTTATAATAAGTACCCATGGCTGGCTGTCTATCCCCTCGTCCTCATTGTTTTCGGCTTCCTCCTCCTTCAATTGCCTCAGAGTTTCCAGCACTTCCTTATCCTCTCCTGGCTTTCGTGGGCCTGATGGCTCCTCGCCGTCCTCCCGTGGCGTTCCTCCTTGTTGTTCACTTCCCGACATTTTCCGAATTGATGCAGTTGTTGATGTTGTCCTTTGTTTTGGTTATGAGCCTCCTCTTGAAGCTAACTAATACTAGTAGATCGTCTTCAACGCTGTCGGCGGCGACACAAACCTGTTGATCTGTCCGTCGCGACGACCTCAATTTTCTTGCTACGTGGACCACGTGCACGTGCCTGCTGTGTGTGCTCACAATTATCGCAAGACTGGGCACTCCGATACAGATGATGAACAAGAGACTCCTGAAAAAGTTGGTTTCTTTTTCGTACTAGCCTGCAATTATGGCACTTTTGCCTCCTGGTTGTTTATTTTACTTCTCGTATGCGCTAGTCGTTGTGGAAAATAGAAGGCGTCGCTTACGCCTTCTTCAACTTCTTCTCGAACGAGCTGGAGAAGCCTGCGACGAGAACCGGCACAAGCGGAAGCAGGGGTAACAAACAGGCGCGTCACGTGAGCCACCTCGCCTGAAGCAAATCGCGAACGTGTGCGACTCTTAGCCTCGCACGGGCCGCTTTGACGTTCGACATATTCTTCTCGCAAGTTCTTTTTTACCTTTTCTTCGTCTTTCTACTCTTTGATGACAACAATATCAATATTAATAACAACACGCAGCTACACCTACAGTTGTTTTTTTATTACAGTTCCTACAGAGAGAGAGTTACAACATCAACATCATTGTCATCAATTATCAGCATGTAGTGCTACGCATCTTGTACTATTTGTATTCTTGACCCACAATCTTTCACGACACACTTTGATAATTTACAGCTTTTTAGCATCTTCATGTAAGTGGTCATTTCCGATTTTCAAATTTTTTCGAAATCGAATTTGATTGTATAAATGAAATACGGAGTTTTCCAGCGACCCCTGTCTGACACCTACGACAATTGCTGCAATTCCAAACTGAAAATTATGGAACAAAACAAAATCTGAAACGCGAAGAGATTTCGTAAACCCTGAAAATGGCGTCGATACATCTAAGTAGTTTTCCCACATGCGAAGACAAATGAGATTACCAACTCTCTTTCACTCCGATTAACAAGTGGAAGTGCTAACACTAAATCAGGACAGCCTCTGTTTCGCTGTTTAACGAAATGATATCGTCGCTACATTTTCCCTCTCCTCTGTACGCGGCATCTAGCCAGCGCTCTACTCCTTGTCCTCGAAGTCGAAAAGCAGGTCATAATATGATTTTGACCTCTTCCAAGTCAAAATCACAACATCATGTCATCTCTCTTGTTTGCTTTTTTCACTCTCTTCATCAACTACTTTGCTGTCCGTGGGAGCGAGTGGGTAATCCACGACTCGACATCGACTAAGAATAATCTACGATGCGAATCATGCTGTGCAGTTTCCTCTTCCATGGAGGCCTATTTGAAAGCTCGAAAATGTTGTGATTCATCATCAAGATGAATCAAGTGCGATGCACAAATTTCTCACACAAATACGATCACTTTTCTCGGAACTATTGCCTCCGCAATCATGGTCGTGCGTCTATGAAGACGGATAGATCTCACTTGTTCTAACACTAAAGGCGCATAAAGATGTCAGTTTTGCCCTTGCTCATGCATCTATCTCCGATATCGATAGCGATATGCAACTTGCCGATATCAACCAGCAACATGTTCTCGTGCGCCAGTCTTCCCCTACTACAACAAGAAACTACAACAAGTAGAATTATGACAATGTCTTGTACAAAACCAGTTTTTGTCGGCCTTGTAGTTCTTTGATGTAGACTTTTCTTCTACTAAGATTGAACCCTTGGTTGCTGATGTTGAAATCATGGTTTTAAGCAGATTCATTAAACAGAGCAGGATGATCAAGAAGCTGCTGAAGCTAGATGAAGAAGCTTGTCATTGAAAAATAATAATAATAAATTGATGGAGTTTCTTAAATTGTTGATACACAGTTGAAGGTCGTAGACTCTCATGACAGTAGAAGTGTTAGTACTAAGGAGAAGTGAATTATCATGAAGATCCAAATACGAAAAAAATTTGAAATTCAGGAGCAGGCCTACTGCCCAGGAGGTTGAGGTAGCACCGTAGTACTTACTTAAAAAAAAGGGTGGGATAATCATAATTCTTGCACTCGCCATTCGGAGGTATAAATCTTTATTTCAGGATTGAGAAAGGACAAAAAGCAGCTACGTACTAGAAGGTGTAGTAGTTGCTGACAAGGATAAAAACCGCGATCCAAAAACAAAACAAGTCGTGATAACTACAATACAAATACGATGTGTGGTGCTACATGATGATAGTGACGGTTTGATTTGGAAACTCATCGTCATCATCCCGAGTTCGATGAAGATGCCGCCGGTTTGCAATTTGACGGCGCTGGCGCCGAAGCTTTCGTAAAGGGTGGAGGAAAGTAGTTTTGAGGTTCCTCTAACAGGTTCGTTTTCCTCAAACTCGTAGAGGATTCCCACTTGTCCTTCATACTCGGATGCGAATCTCTTGGGCAGGACGCAAATGTTGTGTTGTAGTCCCTGTTGTTTTTACCCTTTTTGCCTGATGAAGTGGAACCTTTGCCTTTCTCACCTTTACAACCAGGAGGAGGGCCTTTGCTATTCTTACCTTTACCTGCCGCGGGAAAGCCTTTGCCATTCTTACCACAAGCAGAAGAGCCTTTGCTATTTTTAGCTCTAGCAGGAGAACCTTTGTTTCTCATTGGAGAAGAGCCGTGCTGATTATAATTATTCTTGGAGGACGAGGACTTCGTACCAGAGCCTCCCGTAGTGTTATTTCGCCGTGAAAATGTCGAACCACGACTACGACGAGATCTGTCGTTCCAATTTCGAATCGGGGTAGCACTCGGTGAATTTCTTCTAGGGCTTGGTGAGCAGGATACAGCTGGCGACTTTGTTCTGGTAGGTGGCAGTGCGGAGCTAAATTTACTCAAGGTTTTCGGAACTACTCCGAAGGGCATGCCCTCTTCAGGCTGGGCAGCAGAATCAGAAAAGCCACCAGCCCCAGATGCCAGTGGGGGCGGCGGCAAAACACGAGCGGAAAAAGTTGCTTCATCACCCAAAGTAGAGCTTTCCGTGCCGATTGTCGGGAAAGATGGCTGTGGCAGACTGGTGCCACCTGCTGCGGCTGATAGGCCGTCAAATCTTTTTGCCTCCAATGACGGCGGCACACAACCGATGCCGACCATCGCGCTACTATCCGTGGCCTTGCCTTTGCCTGTCTTGTTCATACTCGCAGCATGTTGGAAGTCGGAGTCCTCATTGCTGGAGTATGAAGAGCCCTTGGCCTTGCCATTGTTGAGTGGAGCGTCTTCTAACACAAATTTCCGATGCGTAATACCGTGCCCATTGCTTTTTCCGTTTCTGAATGGGAGATCACCACCAACAGGAGGGTGGCAGATTTCTTCACCTTTTCTTCCATTCTTTGTCGAGGATTTGGGAACAAGCGGAAGAAACGTCCTGTCCCCATTTTCTTGATGATGTGCTGCTGTAGTCGCTGAGGAGCTCGTCGAGGGGCTTTGCCCGGAAGCCATGGGGAGGTCCACGGCGGGCACATCCGTTTTCTCAACGGATCCCACGATCCCATTTGCATATGTGATAGCTGGTAGACCGTTTTGAGACCGAGCACTCTTGGAGATGACTTGCGAACGAAAAACTACCGATGATGGTGGTGGTGGTGGTGGTGGTGGCGGTTTTTTTTGCATCACGTCATCAGGACTACCATTGCAAGTTCGCGACGACCGTGGTGGGCTCGCATCCGGCATGACGCGAGCACGATTGGGCGGAGGTGGCTGACGTGTGCCTGTGGGACTCGAAGCTGGCGCATACCTACGACGATCCTTTCTTCCATCGCGCTCGCGGTCGCGCCCTGATGGACTTGACCTTGGGGGAGAAGAACGGATCGATCTCTCATGGTGGTGGCGCCGGGGACTCGCGATGGGCGCATCTCTGCGATGGCGCGGATGATGGGAAGAGGTGGACTCCTTCTTCCACCGGTCCTCTCGTTCACGGTCAGGTGATGGGGATGGGCTGGCTAATCGAAGAACGCCACGACGGTTAGGTACATGGCTGGTAGCCTCTCGTCCCGCCAGTGACTTTGTACCAGCACTAGTAGTTCTTGGAAATGAGTCAGCATGTGTCCTTGTCGTTGATCCTGCTGAAGTGTGGTCTACGCTACCTCTAGATGCATCAGGCGCCCTGTTGTGTGTAGAAGATGTAGTGCTGGCACTGCTAGTAGAAGTACTAGTATTATTTGGCTTTGCGTTTTGAAAATCATTGCTCGCACTTCTGTAGTTCCTGCCGCTCGACGACTCATCAATTATTTTCCCCTGATTTCCAATTCTCGTCGCACTTGTGTCGAAAGTAGAGGACGACACTGTTGCAGCACCGGTAACTCGCGCAGCATAGAAGGAATGCCAATCGACGCGTTGGTTTTGTTGGGCACCTGCATTCTGACCTTTGTCCTGTACTTCATAAAGATGAGTATTGGCTCCGGAACCCGAACCACGCTGCTGGAGTTGCGGTGGCACTTGCTGACACTCTGCCTGCTCTACGCCAGCACATGCATCCACTTCTTGGGCAGTAGCAACATGATTCGAGGTCGTGGGAGAGCAGAGCACAGTGAACGAGCCTTGCTGTTTTCTGTGCTGTTGCGGTGATACTGAAAAGTCACTGCTTGGTGGATTCGGGTGAGCGGGTCTTGCTCTTGTTGGGTCGGTCGTCAAGGGCTGTCGCGCCGCGGTTTCACTCGAAGCCTCCTGGTACGGCATCGGCTGCGAAGACCACGAGGCGCAAGAAGAAGAACTTGATATTATCAACAAGGAAGAAATCGCCCTGTTTGTCATCTCTGCCGAATACTGATTCTGACGAACGTGATCATCTACAGCGGTCAGCGCAGGGTCGTTCTCGATAACATGAGCCTGTCGCGTCATCACGGATGTACTAGAAGTAGTTGCAGAAATGTTCTTGCTATCGACGTTTGACTGAAAAATTTGAAGACCTGGCTCCAGCTCGGTATGCGTGTGTCGTTGTGGCTGTTCAATCGGGGCTAAGAAAGAAGAATTGTCGTTAGTATGGCTTTCCTCAAGTGAAGGCAAGGCAGAACCAGAGGACACGCCCCGGTCACTGGAAGAAGCAGCATTTACGTCGTCTTGATTGATGAGGACATCGCCGCTGTTCTCAAAGTGGGCTATAACATTTTTGCCAGTACTACTAGAAGACGCCATCGTAGGTCCAGAGGATGTTGTAGGAATATTGCCACCACCTCCCATAACATCATGTTTCTTGTCTTTCGTATTTTCTCTATCAGATAAAGAATTTTGTTGCTGGAGCCCGATCTCGTTGTTTCTATCGCGCACACGGTTGTTTCCGTCTCCCCGGCCTGCGGGCGCACCCTTTCGGTTATACTTGTCTTGGCGCCGGTGCCTGCCACAAGATTCTCGGTAGCTGCCCCTGTTCATTGTTACGCGATCTTCTCTACTCGCTGCGCAGCCATCAGCGCGCCCCTTGTCCGTCGTCAACGTCCTTCCGCGAGTAGATGAGTGGTGCGTGCGTGTTTCGCGCTTTGCGTAAGTCCTCGAGGTCAACGATTTCTGACGATCATCTTCGCGACCACGGCCACGACTATCTCGTTTTTCATTTCTTCTAGGTCGTCGGTCGTCCCCTTGCTCAGAGAATTTTAATGTTGTTTTAGTATCATTTTGCTTTTGAATTCTAATATCCGTTCTGGAACATGAAGACGTTGATGTGCCGTGATCTCCAAAGTCCACCCGCTCTTGTTCAGTAAGCCGTTCCTGCTGGAAAGCCGTTTTCTCTCGATCTTGTTGTCTGGAGATTGTCTCGTCACTCCCAACGTCGCCTCCTCGTCTTGCGTCGCCTCTACTGTGGTGGTCGTTGTGGGATTTATATCCGGATGCGGCTGGTGTGGACGAGAACTGCTGAGCAGACTCCTGACCAGGAAGTATTGATTTTCTCATGTGGTTGCTACCTGCACCATGATGCCGAATCGGGTGTGAGGATGCTAATAAATCCTTCGATGAGGAGTAAGACTGGGAAGAACGACTGCTCATCCTTGCTCTTTTCCTCAGCACCTCTCTGGTGTCGACGTCGCGGATCTCCTCCTCTCGTCCATCTTCGTCATGAACTACATTATCACGATGATTTGTGACGTTCTGGTTAAGGACGCTTGACCTTGAGGAGGAAGAGGAGGAGGCAGAGGAACCACTTCTGGCAGCATGTGGTGCTATAGAAGCGCTCTCTCTCGTCTCCTTAATTGTCTTTTCACAACTCGAAGCTGAGTCTCGTGGATTTAGCGCTTTGGCACGGCTGCCCGCCTCGCTCGCAGAGGAGAGACACACGCTGTCGCGATTTTGCTTGTTTACTTCCGTGCCCGACGATTCCTGCTTTTCATTTTCGTGGTGTTGTGCTGTTGTCTCTGGAGGAACCATGGGTATTGGGCCTGTCGAGGTATCTTCGAACGACCTTTGACGTGTTGCACCATTTTCTTCGGCTAGCTCCCGGCGCGTGGTCGCATGGAGACGTGTCGTCGAGGCAGGCTCCCTGCGCATATCAGGATAGTTGACGGAAGCGCTACAGTGGTGCTGTTGTCGGACAGAGGACCCGCTCCCGTGCTGTGGTGTGTCAGCCATGCTGTGGGGGTCGACGCTGCCCACTTCCTTCTTTCGACATCGATCCGCATGCATGCGCTGTCTTCCCGGGGATAGGGATATTACAGGACGAGTCTTGTCCTTGCCCACGGTTCGAAACCGTGGCACTGAGTGACTCGTTGACGGAGAGCCCAGAAGGCGCGGACGCGCTACCAGCTGCGGGGTCGCTGCGTTTCCTTTGATAAACGGTTGTATACAACTCGGAGCAGCACTTCCTATGGCCCGGGCGGGACGGGATTTTGTTGCGGTAGACCCTACAGCATGTGGCTCCTGATTCTCAGAGTCGCTTCTCTTCTCCATGGGCGTGCTTGTTGTTATGACGAAACATGAATGTCTATTCAGAGGATTTCGCGACTGAGATTTAGTGTGCCCCCGTGATCGTGAGCGCCTTCTCGGTCTTGGCAGTGACTTTGACACTTCGGCAGAGCCGCCCTGCTGGCGCGGAAATTTCAGGTCGTCGCCTTCTCCGCTATCAGAGGGATTGTAGCTGCAGCATGCGCTGCCATTTAATTCAGCACTTCTTTTCCGGAACTGATGCGATTCTGCATTTGCTGTCTCTGTCGCAGCATCAGAGGAATGCGGCTCTTCTATGGAGCTCCTCCTTTGCTTCTGGTCGAGCACACGAGTCTGCCCTGATCGTGATGGTGCGCGTGCTGGTGAGAGTCTATTTTTTGTGTCATCTTGTGAAGTCGACGTGTTATTTGCAGTAGTATTAATAGTACAATCGAATTTGATAACTCGGACCTCCGCGGAGTTGTCAAGAGAAGAGTCATCCAGTCCGCCATGATTGTCCTCGCGGAGTGGGAGTTCTGCTCGGCTCCCTGAAGAGAGTCCGCAGTCCTGAGGTGGAGGCGCTGCTGCGGTGCTGCTAGATTCTTCGAGCATGCCTCCAGGCTCCTGACAAGATTCTGTTGCTGCATCATCTTGAGCGGAAGCAGACGAGGTCGCGCCTGTCGTGCCAGCACGACGTCGATCAAGGGAGGGGTGAGAACCCGAAGGAGGATCGCAAGCGAAATCGGTACCAGCAGCAGGAAGGTTATGTCTGCCTTCTGTCGATGAGCTCTGATCTTTCGCATGCTCTTCCCTTAATGGTTCCTCGACACTGGCCAACAAAGCAGGAGCCTCCGCATGTGGTACAATAGAATAATCTTGCCGGTCACCGCGTTGTCGTTCAAGCGTCGCGAACTTGAATTCCCCTTGCACTTCTTTTCCACCATCACGACAAGCATCAATCGCACGACCATACTTGAGATCAACAAGCGTTTCTGCGCCAGGACAAGCTTCGTAGTTGATCTTCGCAAAAGTATGGCGCGCACGTACTTCGCCATCCAGATCAGCAACAGAGTCATCACGTTCTTGAACTACACGCTCACTCACAGAGGAGCCGCGCGATCGTCTATCTTTCTGGGCACTGAGCGCATCATCCTGAGACTCATTCGCCCGGCCACCGTCCTCATAGTCTACTTTTCGCCTTTTATTTCCACCATCACTAGCTCCGTCAGAAGATGAAATACAGTCCCGTCGCGGCCGCTTCTTCGAAGCCTGTGTAGAGCCGGCCTGGTCTGCGTCTGTGTAAACATCTGGTACTACAGCGGGATCTTGTTCACGGTGAAGCTTGCGCTTTTTCCTATGGTGCCTGCTACGATCGCGACTACCTCTGCTACTGGTATGGATACCCCGTTCCGTTCTGTTCACAGCGTTGCCGTGTAAGCCATCACCCGATGAGGAGGAGGCATCGGAGCTCTTGTTGTCCTGATCTTCATTACGCGACGCCATCCTCCGCACTTTACCTCGGCGGCGGGGCCGAGTGTCGACATTGCTCGCTGATGTTGCACTTGAAAACGATAACTCCGCCTCAGAGTGTAAAGCAACCGGCGCCTGCGCCACAACAACGTTCTCGGTTGTCCGATGAAGCATCTCAGTCGACAAGGGTGGCGCAGATGAGGACCTTCCTTTCCATAAGGATGTCGCGCCGCCCCGGCTAGTAAAAAACTCTTCATCTTCAGGAGCATCTTCGTGGCTCTGTGCTCTTCTACGAGGACTTGCTGACTGATCTACTGTTTCAGGCCAGAGCATATTTTTGCCTTCACTGCTTTCAACATCTGTCTCCTGCTTCGACGGCACCGCATCAATCATACTCGTCTGGTTCTCTGATGATGTTTCAACATGTTGTATATGGCAGCGGTTGTGATGTTGATTCGGTGATGGAATCCCAACCGCTGCACTGCTTCGGCTGCTGCCAGAGGAAGTTCCTCTACTCCTGTTAGCCGTGGCATGTTGAAACTCCGAAGCTGGTACCGGAAATATTTCTACTAGTCTTCCGTCAATCTCAACAACAACCGGGCGACGCATCATTTTTACGGCGCTAAGCTGATGCGTTTCCTCGTGTTTGGTCCTGCAGGTCGCTCCTATCGTTCGACAATTTGCCATCGTTGTACCAGTACTGCTCGTGGTACGTGCTCGGCTTGAGTCACCTTTTTGAGTAGATGTTGTGGCCTTTTCATCCTCTAGCTCCGACGCCGCAGACGCGGTAGTACTCTTCGCCTCATCATCTATCGGAGGAGCGACTTTATCACGACTCGCGCTCCCCGTCGTCCTCGTCTCGCCGTTTAGGGTGGGACCACCAGCCGAGGATAGCTCTCGCTCTTCGCGGGAGGCCTCTACTTCATCTTCGGACGACAATGCTGGGCCCGTCTTGTGCTTGTTGCCAAGGCCAACACACACAGATGACTGCGACAATTGTATGGACTGCTCCAGAGGCCTTGCAGCGTCTTCGGTGTCACCCGTAGTACGAGACACGGAAGGCATACGCTCCTGCCGCTGGTGACTCTGGGCTGCTTCTATTTTCTGATCAGGCTTATCTTCATCTGCAGAGCTAGAAGCAGAGGACGAAGGACGCTCGCTTGTCCCCTCCTCTGCTGCAGTTCCGCGTTCTCTTGATGTTCTAACGGCCTCATTGAAGTTTTTTTGAGTGCTTCTATCGTTGGTAACAGTAACTTGAGCCATCGGCGGCGAAAAAGGCCGTATGTCTGAAGACGGGTCCTCCACTACAGCACTAGCAACCACATTGCCATCATCACCATCTTCATCTCCAACTTGATTTAGTGACTGCAAAGTGTCTTCGTCCAAAGCAGGTATGCAAGGTCTGTCCTCATCGATGGCGGGCAACAACATTTCTCGTTTTCTCTTTTGCCGCCTCTCCTTTGCCGGGCACGACCAGTGCAAGGGGCCCTCGTCGACCACTTCAGCTAGGTACGTATCGAAAGATATAAGCAAATCCGATAACTCGGCAGATCCAGAGACTGGCGTCGTGCTAGTTTCTTGATGCTGCTCTACCATGATCTGCTCCTCCGCTCGTGTTTCTAGTACTTCACAAGGCGAGTTAAAAGAGCCTATACCGTCACTAACAGGAGCAGAACTCTCTGCTGATGAAGGCGGTTGCTGCTGGAGTTCCACCTTAGCATCGGGATGTTCCAGAGTAGTCGAACCCGCCGGATTAGAAGTTGGGTGAACTGTTGGAGCAACAAGGTGATGCTCGTTCTTAGTTATGAGTCTTTCTCTTGACGTAGAGCGGGAGCTTGATGGCACCTCGTCTATAGGCATCGCAGTCGCTGCTTTGGATAATTCTATTCCACCAACATGGGCGGAAATCTCGCTGAGAGCAGTGGCGCAGGAAGTTTTTGCGTCTACCTCAGCTTTTGATGGTACAACGGGCGGGGAAGATTTTTCAGCCTTCTTCGTACGCACTTCTTCACTTTCCGCTGGTTGTTCAAAAGTATTTGCGACCGGTAGAGATGCTTCATTGTGTCGAACTCCTCTGGCAGTAGTTGCTGTAGACGCGGTAGATGATGGAGCAGTCGATACTTCACGAGCGACGTCGAATGTCGCGGATGCAACATCGCAGCTTGTTTCTGTTCGCTCTGCATTTTCACGGACGGGAGCTGCGGTTTCTTGAGTTCCTTGGTAAGGACCACACGCTTTAATATCGTTCAGTTTCGCATCCTCATGTTTCTCTCCTTGGACTTCTTCACACTCAGCAGTTGACTGGTCCATAAGAGGGGCTACGGACGCTTCCTCTGCAAGTAGACCTGTTATAGTGATGCCTCCTGTTCGTGTCTCAGCGTTTGCTTCTGTGTCTGGTGATGTCTCCCCCATGCCACCCTCGTCTTGCGATAGTGCTCTCGTGTTGTCCTTCGCGTTTCTAGAGACTCCAACCGTGGCGCATGATGCAGCGGAAGTAGTCGTAGTGCTAATCGTGGTTCGACTTTCTTCAAGTATAGTGCTTCCCGGTCTCCTGCGTTCGTGATGGTCAAGGTCTTCTTCATCTAGTACCTCGAGGCCTAGTGCATGGTAGAGACTGCAGGAGGTGAAATTTACCTTCGGCCTCTCGACTGCGGGACCCAAACGCGCGGAGGCGACATATTGAGGGCTAACATCAGATGAGTCGTCGCTCTCATTTTCCTCGCTCCCTTTCTCGTTCGAAGATAATGCGCAGCGAGAAACGCGACTGTCGGCCTCGCCTCTTGACTCTCCGCGCACCGTTCCGCATTCCAGCCTTTTGCCGTTGTCTGATGCTGCAATGACCTCATTGCCGAGTACTAGAGCCCCCAATTCCTCTTTTTGGGCGCGATTCTCAACATCCGCACTCTCGAACATCAGTGCGGCACCGCCACAATGCTTTTCTCCCTTTTCCTGATCATCTTCAGGGTCCTGATCGTCTTCTTGACTTTTTCTTTTTTCGGCATCGTCAGCTCCCTGTCGCACAGCTCCCTCCGCTAATTCTTTTTGGTCACGTTGCGCTGGCGCCCCTGGACAGTGTGAAGATGAAGCTCCTGCATTTTCGAGAAGAACAATTCCTTGTGATACTGCAGTTTCTCTTTCATTTGATCCCGGGCCCTGCGCAGTTTCTGCGGGATTTTCCGAGTTTATCGATAAATTGGCTGGCTCTCCCTCTCCCAGTTGCTGCTCATTCCCCTGTGCTGCTACTGAAAATGGTGTGGCTAAGCCTGCACCAACAAAACTGTCTGGCTGCTGACCAAAGATAAGGTCATCCGCATCCTCTAGCTGTTCTTCCTCGCTCATTTTGTAGCAAGAATAAACGGAGACCACGGAGTGACTATTTTGTTGCCGCGCCACAACTTCATCTTCGTCTGCTGGTGAGTCCTCGCGAGGATCGTCAGCACCAAAATGACTACCAAAGTTTTCACCTCCTGCTGCGGTAGTTTGGTGGTCGGCCTTGATGTTTTCACTTTCTATTTCTTCGTCGTGTTTTGATAAGTTCCGGTCCTCCTTATCGAGGGGAGCAGCATGAGAAAGAGGATCCTGAGCGGGTTTGGCTTTTTTACGCCCGTCTTTGTTCAACTCTGGAAGCTGAGAAAGCGAAAGGGATCCGAGTAGACTACAGTCGGAGTCCGCGTTGAGACCAGCCTCATGTTGATCTCCCTCCGCTGTTGGTCTCCGCGGATCATCCTCAACTGCTGAATGGTGTGGCACGTGGTGCTCTTTGTCTTCTTCTTCTTCCTCATCGCCATACAGGTCTGATGGGGTCCGGCAGTCCTTCCCAACTTCTAAGGACGCCTCGTCCTTTTTCTTCACCTTCTTCCAGCATGAACTTGTCGTGTTGTTTTTTTCACCGTCCTCCAGATCATCATCGCAAGTAGCTGATTCATGGTAGAAGGCCGCAGCTGCAGCATCTTCTTCGGGAAGCACCGCCACGTCTTCTTTAACAGTTTGCTTAGCAGGTGGCGTTTGAAGAATACTTCCGTATTTCTCGTTTACTCCTTTTTCTTGCTCCTCTTCCCCGTCTTCGTATTGTTTGCTGACAAAAAGGGGCTCGACGTGTGCTTTATCATCGAGAAACGCGTCATCATGATGAGCACTTCTTTGTTCTTCTCCATAGGTAACATCTTCGATACAGTTCTTGATTTCTTCGCCCACAAATCCATCTCCTCTTGTAGTACCTTCTCCTTGTGACATGGTGTCCTTCTGAGGAGGATATATCCAAAGGCGACACTTCTCACCATCGCTCCATATTTTTTTAGTCGGGTAAATGCATCCATCTAGTGATAAGGCTTCGCTTTGCTCCCGCTTCTCTAGACTTTAGAGGTTATACGGAATTACATTCCTCAGAACATCCCTGGCTTGTTTTCTACTGGAAAATACTGGAAGAAGAGCTAGGGACGGCCGTGAAGAATGCAATTCGGAAACCCTTAAAGAGTGCTGCAAAATGCGTCGGCAAGGTCCGCCTCGCTCCCGGAAGATGTACAACATGCAGCGCTAATTAGACTTCATAGAGAGCAGTAGTCAGTGAAAGTGGCTGTATTATGATACTATGGATGAGCAGTTGTGAAGATGAAGGTGGTCTGAAAACACATCTCCGCGAAGAGCCAAATGATAACTTATCCCGCATCATCCTGTCGACGTCGGTAACTAATGGACGACCCCTATTGCTTACGCTTACATCTCTCCTGTAAAAAAGTCGCATACGACGGCCACGTTTTTGTGGTCGACCGTACAACTACTGGATCTACTTCTAAGAATTAGTACGTAATTCTATTTCAACAAGGAATTTACTGAAGTGCGTGTTGTTATTTCCCATAAGTCAGCACCTGCTTCCGCCCCGTCTTCCGCTACCGCACTGATGAGACTCAGCTGCAGGTCAGTCGCGTTGACGACGCAGTAGTAACTGAGTTTCGAGTGTGGTAAGAACGATGAGTGTGAAAATGAAAATGTTAAGATTTTTGTTCTCCTACTTGACGTCGATGTTGTAGATGTGCATCATGTAGGCCTTTGATCTTGATGTCATGTTATCAATTTATGCTTCGGCACAAAAAGGGGCGCGATGCAGGCAGGGCTTTGGGCGTCAGGTGAGTCGATGTTTGCATCAGCAGGAGCTTTCTGAAACTCAGATGGATTGGTAGATGTCGATGGACTGCACTTCGGAGACACACGGGACAACTACAGCAACACCTATTAATCACGCACCACCCCCCATCAACTGCTAGAACTATTCCTTGTACTTATCAACGACTTCACGATTTCTATTGACGATGTGGTCCTTAGACTTGCGTCAGGATCAGGTCAGATCTTCAAAATTGTGAGATCGTTGCATTTGATTCCCCAAGATGTCTACTGATAATTTGAAATGATCATCCAAATGAACAGTTGCTCCTTCATCTAATATCGATTTCTATTTCACAAGAAGAGTAAAGATCCTACAACATGCTGAAAGGTTGATCGTACTATTTTTAAAGAGAATTTGATAGAAGCAGCCCCAGAAAATTCTATAGAAGAGAATTTTCGAAGAGAATTTGGGTCCTGATAGATAGAAGCCCCAGCTGTACGGCTCTCCTGGCTGCTGAATCGCTCGGAGGTTTTTGTTTAACGCAAGCACCCGCACTCCGGAAGCAGAATACCATCGCCCGTCGATGGTATTGAAATGGATAGGCGACCGCTCCTGCCCCGGATAAACCGGTGGAATACTCAACTCGGATAAGACAAGAGGCGGCTGTAGAGGCTGTGTCAAGGTCAACACATGATAATATTTTCACTTGACAACGACCGTCAGGATTGCAGCGTCCGACCCTAGTGCCAAACTTGACGTCTAAAGAGCAAATCATGAAGATCTTCGTCTACTGCAGTGAGTTTTGTTATCATCTTTTTCAATCTAAGGTGACCGATCGCAAAGTGTGAAAGTGACTGGGGCCAAGTATTATTTTGCTTCTGAGTGATAGTACCAGATTTTGTGCGGCGTCAGCCGATAATTCGACTGCCGCTTCGTCGTGCTGTTGGGTTTTTGCGTACAAGAACGGGGAATCTACTTGCCACAGCGTCGTCGGGTCAGCGTCGTTGGGACAGGGAGATCCTCTGTCAGATGTTGCAACTGGTCCTCCTGCGGCTGCACTAGCAAGTGTCTCATACGCCTTTAGGTCAACGGATCCGCTTTCCCCAGGCCCGGAGCTGACCGACAACTTCGAGCTCCCCGAGCCCGACCGCAAGAGCGTGGCTCGAGGCGTGGTGGCGTTACTCTGCTGGTTCTGGATATCTTGTTTCTCAGGAGCAGCTGCATTCCCATTCTTGTCTCCCTCAGCAGGTGCAGGCTCAGGACGCGTTATTGTCCCACCATCACTCGTTGCCACGCCTG